CACATGGTATGCTGCTTTAACATCGTTGACAACCTACTCCAAAACGGGACACTCAAATAACATCTAAAATCGGTGAGTTAAGCTAGAAATAGAACATAAGCAAAAACTGAGACATTTTGATTTTTCAATATATCATTACTTAAGATGAATAATAATCCCAAGCTTTCAAGAAAGATCTCTAATCCACGTGGATTGTATTACTTAATGTTTGATATCAAATTCCCATGATGGCTTGCTCTTACTAAGAAACAGCACTCTACACGATACATTTCTTTCTAGGAGGATACAGAATGTAATTTCATGTTTTAGTTTAAAAGAGGTATTTTCCCTGACTGATATCTCTCACATTGTATCTAAAGACAAATAAAAGACTTACAAAGCATAAGGGATATCGGAAAGACTAGTTTTAACTTTTGATTTTAAAGTTCCAAAAGATATGTTAGGCAGAAATAATACAGTTAACTTCAAACAGCAATGGCAGTCTTTAAGTCAATTGACATTAAATCTAAGACAGAATAACTTTCCTTATGTATTTACCACATGCCAGACACTGTTCTGAGAGTTTTAGGAGTATCAACTTATTTAAACCATACAACAACTTAGAAGCTTGCTCTTATCATTATTATAATTCCCATTTTATAGATGACAGAACAAAGAAGCTCAGAAACTTGCCCAAGCTCACTTATTGGAGCCATGATTCAAATGTAGCATCCCAGCCTCTTTGGCTGTTTGGTTAGCCACGGTACCATTGCTGCTTCTAAATAAGCCTTCATAGGAAATACTATTGGATGCCAATTGTATTAGTCTGTTCTCGTGCTATTAATAAAGACATACCCAAGACTGGGTAATTTATAAAGGAAAGAGGTTTAATGGATTCACAGCTCCACATGGCTGGGGAGACCTCACAATCATGGCAGATGACAAAGGAAGAGCAAAAGGATGCCTTACATGGCAGCAGGCAAGGGAGCATACTCAGAGGAACTCCCATTTATAAAACCATCAAATCTCGTGAGACTTATTCACTATCATGAGAACAGCATGGGAAAAACATGCCCCTATGATTCAATTACCTCCCACTGGGTCCCTCCCTTAACACGTAGGGACTATGGGAGCTACAGTTGAAGATGAGATTTGGGTGGGGACACAACCAAACTGTATCACCAATGAACTGTTTTAATTATAATTTTTTTAAAAAGGAAAAGTATAGATAAAAAGAAACCAGTCACCTAGATTTCTATTTACATATTTTTCCAATGACTTTTCTATATCTATATACATATATGCATACACCAACAGAGATCAACAGAAATGTGCATCAAAAGACATGGTCAAAGAATTCTCTCTGAAAGACAAAAAAAGGCACTCAGAATTCCACTTTTATACCCCTTAAAACTGCACTGAAAATTATAACTTAGCTAATAATCTTAGGAAAACAGTATGAGGACAATAATAAGCTTAAAAGGGGTAATCACTCTAAAGCAAGTTGCACAGGTTGAAGATGTAAATGAATAACAGGCAAAATTGCTACTTTGGGATTAACTGGGACTCTTTACAAATTCTCCAGTAGTAGCTGAGGATGTTGAAAGCAAGACTGCCAGGTATGAGGGTGAGGTACAAATAACCCATGACTCGTAAATGTGTGTTTCTTTTCCCTTGTCATGTGCAGGTGTTCACACAGCAACTGCTATTTCAGACTGTTGTCCTAGGTTTCTCTTGCCTGTGTTCCTCCTTTCGGGAACATCTTTGTGATATACATATGCATATATGAAATATGCATACATATATGTATATCTCACATATGTATATGCACCTATGCATATGTATAGCTCATATATGTTAATACACATGCATATATATATATACATATATAAAACATAAATATATTACAGGTGAGAGAGGAAAGAAAAGAGAGAGTGAGACGGAGGATAGAGAGAAGGGTAGAGAGACAGGCTTTCTCAATCCCAACAATTTTTCCCTATTCATTCCCTGCCCTTGCACTCCCTATTAAATATAAGAGGATAATTGAAAACAACCCAATTAAAAATTGGGCCAAAATGAGAATGTAAACTGGCATAGTCATTATGGGAAATAGTATGGAAGTTCCTAAGAAAGTTAAAAAATAAAACTACTATATTAGTCTGTTTTCACACTGCTGATAAAGACATATCTGAGACTGGGAAGAAAAACAGGTTGAATTGGACTTACAGATCCACATGACTGGGGAGGCCTCAGAATCATGGCGGGAGGTGAAAGGCACTTCTTACATGGCGGTGGCAAGAGAAAATGAGGAATATGCAAAAGTGGAAGCCCCTGATAAAACCATCAGATCTCATGAGACTTATTTACTACCATGAGAACAGTATGGGGGAATCTGCCCCCATGATTCAAATTATCTCCCACTGGGTCCCTCCCACAACACATAGGAATTATGGGAGTGCAATTAAAAATGAGATTTAGGTAGGGACACAGAGCAAAACCATATCAACTACCATATGATTCAGCAATCCACCTCTGGGTATATATCTGAAAAAATGAAAGCAGGGTAGCTGTAGTCCCAAGTTCGTTGCAGCATTATTCACAATAGCCAAGATATAGGAATGACCTATGTGTCCATCAGTGGATGAATGGATAAATAAAATATATATATGGACACACACATATACATGTGTATAAATACACACACATGCAATGGAATATTCAATCATACAAAAGAAGGAAATATTGGCATTTGCAATGACATCGATGAACCTGGAGGACTTTATTATGATAAGTGAAAGGAGCTAGACCCAGAAAGGCAAATACTATATGATCTCACTTACATGTGGAATCTAAAAAAGTTGAATTCATAGAAGCAGAGAGTAAAATGGTGATTACCAGGGGCTGAGGTCCAGGGAAAATTTTGGTCAAAGGGTACATACTTTCACTCATAAGATGAATAAGTTGCACGGTAAATGTAAGTTAATAATACTGTTTTGCTTACTTGAAATTTGCTAAGAGTATATTGTAAGGGTCCTCACCACACCCTACAACAAAAACAAAAAAGTAGCTATGTATGGTGAGGGATGTGTTGATTTTTTATATATATATATATATAATTATATATATTATATATATATATTATATATTATATCTATATTATATATATATAAAATACACACACACACACCCCATGGAATACTACTCAGCCATAAAAATAACAAAATAATGTCTTTTGAGGCAACTTGGATGGAACTGGAGGCCATTATTCTAAGTGAAGCAACTTAAGAACAGAAACCAAATGCTGCATGTTCTCACTTATAAGTGGGAGCTAAGCTATGTGTATACAGGGTCATAGGGTAGTATAATGGACATTGGAGACTCCAAAGAAGGGAGGGTGGGAGTGGAATGAGGGTTGAAAATTACCTATTGGGTACAATGTACACTACTCGGCTAACAGGTACATTAAAAGCCCAGACTTTGCCACTATATAATCACATCCATGTAACCAAAAACCACTTTTACCCTAAAGCTATGAAATTTTTTTAAAAAGAACCTTCTACAGAGCCCCTAATAGTTCAGATTCTCAGTCCCCAACCTTAGGGTGTTCTGAATAGCAGCTATGGGATGAGACTAGGGCATGGAAATTTTAATACATTCCCCAGGAAATTCTAAAACCTTTGGAACCAATGCTATAATATACCTCCTTCATTACTCAGGAAAGGAAACCGAAGCGCAGAATCTTATATGTGAATGAAAACACCCATAACCATAATATGATAATGATAGAAGCACTTATTATCTGTCAGGCACTGTAGTATGTGCTTTCGTTATATCAGATGCTTATGCTATAGGTACTGTTATTACTTCCGCTGTATGGATGAGGAGCCAGAGGTTCAGAGAAGTTATGTAACTTGCTCAAGGTCACACAGCTAGTAGGTGGCAAAGCCAGCAGTCTGATTGCAGAGTTCTTACCCTCAACTACTGGGCTGTACTACCTCTTCTTATGTAATTTACATGTATCTGTCACATAGTAGAACCTGACCACCCTGAAAGCATTGAATATATAGCCTTATACTCCAGGATAAACTCAAATAGGTAAATATATGCCTCAGTTTTAACACTGCCCTCATGTGGACAAAATTCTGCTGTCTTGTATAATTTACCAGTTTTGGAGGAATTCGTAAGTGCTGATAATGGCAGAGGCCGTGCACATTTTGGGGAAAGGAATATATGAAATATCACTGGGGACCATGTTAAATGTTTAATAAACAACCTCCTTTAATCCTCATAGCAATTCTCTGAGGTAGGTACTTTTATCCTCATTTTACAGATGAGAAAACTGAGGCTGAGAAAAGCAGATGTTTTGTTCCAGGTCACACAGCCAGTCATCTGCAGGGCAGGGATTGCCACCTAGGTCTGCCAATCTTCATGTTTTCACTCTATTGCTTTAATCTTATCTGCTGTAACTCCTCAGTCTCCCCCAGCTGTCACACATACTCAGAAGAGATCCATTGTTATGGCTGCATCATATCGCCCCCAAAGTTGCTAGTCCTAACCCCCTGTGAATGTGACCTTATTTGGAAACAGAATCTTTGCGGGTGATCAAGTTAAGGTGAGGTTATTAGAGTGGGCCCTAATCCAGCATGACTGTTTTCATATGATGAAGGGGAATTTAGACGTGCATAGAGGGAAGATGGCATGAAGATGCAGGGAGAAGATGGCCATCCACAAGCCGATGAGAGTGGCATGGAACATGTTCTCCCTAATGATCCTCAGAAGGAACCACTGCTGCTGAGAACTTTATTTTGAACTTTTGGCCTTCAGCACTGTGAGACAATACATTTCTGTTGTTTAAGCCACCCGTGCATGGTAGCCCAAGGAACAAATGCAAGTGTTTTCAAAGTGAACCTGCGGCTTCAACCCTCTCTCTCTTTTTTTTTTTTTCACCATAAACAGCACCTGCAGACCCTCCTGCCCCATGAGAGGATAGCTGCCCTTCCCAGAGTGCCCTTCCCACTGACCTTCCTCGAAGTGCTGAACTGTGTGGGTCGACATCACCACTGGAACCCCGTTCTGAGCAGACGCGTTGTCCTGAAACAGACCACGTGACATTGTGAGACAAATCTTTGGGGGCAAAATCAGAAGAACTCAAGGAAGAACCTCGAAGATACAAGGATGTCTCACAAAAATTAAACTTAGCTTAAAGGCTGTGTTTCTAGAAGCTCCCCAGCTTTCTATCACACCTCGGAGAACCAAAATAACTCACTCCAAGAGTGGACTCCAGTGATTATGAGTGCACACCACGGTGCCTCAGCTCAGGGGATCCCACCCTCACAGGAAGCTCTGACCCCTCGCACGGAGGGGACCCCAGGCTCAAATGGGCACTTGTCAAGTCAGGGATGGAGCACGAATTTAATGTGCTGATTCTGAAACCTTTTAGGTTATCCTCACTCCACTGTCTTGCACACACAGACACAATCAATCAGCAGCCAGGACTTTTTAGTCAACACACTTGTCAAATACAGGAAGTTCATTTTTTTTTTTTTTTCCTGCTGATGCCCCTTTAATGGTTACTACACTACCTTGTAAATCTCTGCTTCTGGTTCATTCTCTTGGTCTTCAACTCTTTGGGGAACGCTCATTTGGTTACCCATTGCTCCTATAATGGAGAGAAAGAGAGGAAGAGAGAAAGAATTCAAAATCAAACGAAGCTACCTAAGGTGCAGAGGCCTGGCAAGTTGCCCATGGCTGTATTATCATCAGCTGACATCAGAACAAATTGCTTGTATTAGTCCGTTCTCACACTGCTATGAAGAAATACCCGAGACTGGGTAATTTATAAAGAAAAGAGGTTGAACTGACTCATGGTTCCGCATGGCTGGGGAGGCCTCAGGAAATTTTACAATCACGGCAGAGGGCACCTCTTCACAGGGTACCAGGAGAATGAGCGCGAGCTGGGAAAAATGCCAGATGCTTATAAAACCATCAGATCTCGTGAGACTCACTCAGTATCACGAGAACAGCATGGAGGAAACTGGCCCAATGATCCATTTATCTCCACCTGGTCCCACCCTTGACGTGGGGATTATGAAGATTACAATTCAAGATAAGATTTTGCGTAGAGACACAACTAAACTATATCATTGCTTATATTTATTTTGGGGAATAGAAATGAGATTTTGGACTCATCTATTCAACAGAATTAAAGTTAAATGCAGTCATAATTTTCAGTTGCATTTCACTGATAGGGGAAAATATTTATCATTATGAAAAGTGTATTCAGTGTAGATAGCATTTTTTTTTTCTCTCTTAGCTAGAGTCACAGCTATTAAGATTTTAGAATGAGGGTAATTGAAATAATAATTTTTAGCTTTTTCTTATTCTCAAACTAAATTAATTCCCCTATTAAAACCTTTTACACTACTGCTTTCTTTTTTTTTCATAGCATTTAGCAGGGTTTGTAATTATATACTTACTTGGGTATATCTTCATGCTTTCATTGATTTAACACATATGGTCATGTGTCACTCAAGGGGGAGGAAATGTTCTGAGAAATGCATCGTTAGATGATTTCATGGTTGTGTGAACATCATAGATGGTATAGCCTACTACACACCTAGGCTGTATGATATAGCCTATTGTTCCTAGGCCACTAACCTGCACAGCATGCAACTGCATTGAACACTCGGGGAAACTGTGACACACTGGGAAGTATTTGTGTACCTAAACATATCGAAACAGAAAAAGTACAGTAAATACATAATGTTATAATCTCATGCGACCACTAAGTGTGTGTGGTCCATCATTGACTAAGGTATCATTATGCAGCGTATGACTTGTCTATTGAGCACAGCTCTGCACCTATTGCTGTGCGAGGCACTAGGGTTACAGCTGTGAATTAAACAGGCAAGGCCCTCTGACTTCATGGAGCTGAAACATGGTACACAGGAAGAGAGTTAACACATGAACAATAAATCCACAAATGAGGTCATTTCTGATAGTTCAAGGCAGCATGGCACAGTGGTTATGAGCACAGACTCTAGAGCAAGACTGCCTGGGCATGAATCCTCTCTCTGCCTCTTGTGGCTGTGTGTCCTTGGGAGAGTTAATTAGCCTCTCTGTGCCTCATAAGACTGCTATAAGGACCCAATGAGTTAATGCTTGTGACCTGGTTAGAACAATGTCTAGCTCATGTTAAGCAAAACATATGTGCTTATTAAACAAAAACGCATAGGGTTCTAAGTTGTGAATAAAAGTAATTTTTTTTGAGATGGAGTCTCTCTCTGTCACCCAGGCTGGAGTGCAGCGGTTCAATCTCAGCTCACTGCAACCTCCGCCTCGTGGGTTTCAACGATTCTCCTGCCTCAGCCTCCTGAGTAGCTGGGATAACAGGTGCGTGGCACAACACCCGGCTATGTTTTTTTTGTATTTTTAGTAGAGACGGGGTTTCACCATGTTGGCTGGGCTGGTCTCGAATGCCTGACCTCATGTGATCCACCTGCCTTGGCCTCCCAAAGTGCTGGGATTACAGGCGTGAGCCACTGCGCCCCATCGAATAAAAGTAATTAATAACATCACGTGAGATGGGATCATATGGGAGATGGCAGGTTGTGGCAATGCTGGGTAGGATGGTTCTGAAATGACCATTAATGTGGTTATTGTCCCATAGGTGAAGGGCAAAGTTGAGTATTTATGTCTCCCTTCCAAAAGAAATGGTAAGCACCCTGAGGTCAAAGGCAGTGTCTACCTTCACCCAATTTTGTATCTCCTAATCTTAGCCGTGTGTTTGCATTTATTGGGAGCTCAATTATTATTAGTCAACGGAGGGAATAACCATTGATAACATCTCTCACATATGAGGCACAGACCTAGGTACATGACCACATCATCACCAAACCTCTGAAGAGCTTTGTTATAATGATGATGATAACAGGAAGTCATTACTTAGCATGTTCTCAATTCCAAGCTCTAATTTCTGAGTGCTTCACCTGTGTGGTCTCACGTAGTCCTATAGTGTTCCTGTGAGATAGAGGCATCATGATTTCATTCTTCATATGAGGAAGCCGAAACTCAAGGGGGTTAAATTATTTTCCAAAGGTCACCCAGTTAATGAGCAAGTTTCAAACACAGTCTGGCTGGGCTCTAACCACCGGAATGTTCTGCATATTACTAGCTTTCCTTAAAAAGGAGGAATGGAACCTCCAAGACTCACCAAGGACAAACACCCAGTGAGGAACTGACTCCTAATATATCCGATCCCTACACAAGAACCCTTGCAGTCACTCCAAAGGCCTGCTGTCTTGCCACCTAAAGTTCTTTTGCACACATAATTCCAATGTAGCCCATCTCTAAAGACCTAGCTTCTGGCTTATCTGCTCCAGTGGCTCTTGGAATAAAAATTAGGACTTTTGATTTCTGGCTGAAAGGAGCCAATGAGTCACCAGGATTCTTGTGGATCTCTCGCCTTGGGTGTGAGTTTATACTCCCTGGTAGTAGATGCATTGAGCAATTGGATATTGAGGAGGCCAAACAAAGGGTCGTGGATCTCACCATGTGTTCTCTTGCAGGAATTTAATACATAACCAGATCTGGGGATTTTGTATGTCTTCTGATCATACCACATGATGAAGCTAAGCACTGCTAAAACATATAGGACACTTGTTGTTTTGTACTCTTTTCTATTTATAAAAATCCATGACTCACACACTTGCTTCTGTCAATCATCGCTTCTGTCAATGGGACAATAACATTGAATCTTCAAGACCAGGGTTGGCAAAGAACGGCAGAGGCCAGATTCAGCTCACTGCCTGTTTCAGTAGGCCAGTGAGCTAAAAATGAGTTTTAAATGTATAAATGGTTGGAAAAAAAAACAGAAGAATCATAGAATGTGACACATGAAAATTATGTGAAAGTCAAATCTCAGCATCCATAAATAAAGTTTTGCTGGAAGATAGCCATGCCCTTTTATTTATATATTGTCTGTGATGGCTTTCATGCTATAATGACGGGGCTGAGTACTTGCAACAGAGACCTATGGCCTGCAAAGCCTAAAATATTTACTATCTGACTCTTTACAGAAAGTTTACCAGGATTTGAACCTACTATGTATAAAAACAATGACGACAACTCTAAAAAATCATAGAAATGATAAAGTAATAACAATAACAACATTTGGTGAGTGCTTACCATCTGTTGAGAAACTGTTCTAGGAGTTTTATTTGCAGTAAAACTAATTTGCTCTTTGCAGCAATTCAACAAGGCAGAGGTATTGTTATTATTTCAATTTTGCTGGTGTGGAAACTGAGGCATGCAGGTTAAATGTCTTGGTCAAGGATACACACAAACACGTTCATAAATGCACATGCGAGAATATATATACACAAAGTATCTATCTAAATTCAGCTTTTAACAAGTTTTAAAATTATTTTAACAGTAGGTTTACAAGCTTTATTTTAAAGCTCTTCCTATTTAATGTAAATTCAATCCTAACAGAGCTACTTTGAATCAACGCTTGAGGTTATGAAAAATCTTGGAGCTGGAAGACGCGTGGTGTATGGAAGTAGGAGAGAAGCTTTTCCTTCTCACAGAGTTGGGGTTACATTATTCTGATCATTGCACATCCTAAGTAGCCTCTCGGCCACTTCAAGGTGAAGGGGACTGAAAGAAGGAAAATCTAACGGCGTGTCTTTTTCAGTGATAACCTGGATTCAGATATTGTCACTTTCCACCAGCAGTTATAATGCATGTGTTGCTAAATTGCTCCTGCCTGTCCGTCAACCTTTTAAGGAACAGGATTTATCTCGGTGGGACAAAAGCAAAAGGTTACTGCCATCTGTTGGCTGACATCAATATTAGCAGAAATGAATTTATTCAGACTACAGGACTAGGTCCAAACAGCTGGGGAGACTGAAAGAAGCATTTTGATGTTTTGCAATGAAGTCTTCTGTTAACAGTTGGCAAGAAGATGGCAACTCCTTCAGTGCCCCAAAGGTCCTGGAACTCGTAATAATGATACCATATATGACTTGTGTGAAGAGCTTGCTGGGTGCCAGCCCAGCGCTGAAGCTCTGTGTAGACACCAGTGTAGCACACAGGATAGGAATGTGGGCTCTGGAGTTTGGAATCTCCGAGCATTACTGAACCTTGCTGGGCCTCAGTTTCCTCATCTGCAAAAATCGGGATAATGATAGCCTCCATCTCAAGCGGCTGGTATGAGAATCAAACCAGTGAATAGAAGCAAAGTGCCCTGAACAGGGACTGGCACATAACGAGCATTGCGCAAGTGTTAGCATGAATAGGATTCTCCCTGATATGATCTTTGCTCTTTGAAGCCCGTGTCTCCCACAGGTGCCTGGTAGTGAGACTCTACTGAGGAATCCGGCAACATTTCTGATTCCCGTGATCCTCTCACCAAAAAGTCAAGTTGGGGCCCTGGAATTTGTATTTTTAGCAAATGCCCCAGTGATTCTCACAGTATGAAAAACACTGTGATGGTAAAACCATCTTCAAGGCTTTTCCAGGAATGAGGATGCTCTAGGACACGGGACTCTTTATGTTAAAACTGGAAAATCCTGGGCAAACCAGAATGACTTACATGGAGACTTTTAAAAAAATCCCCATTTAATAGATGGGAAAACTGAGGCTCAAGGCAGTTCAGACAGTAATTTTT